ATGCAGTCGCAGTTGGCTTTTCTGCATCTTTGGGGCTTCAAAATTGAATGGTCCTGCAGAACGTCGCACTGTCAAGATAAAGTCTTTACAAAATCAAGTCTTACATTCTAAAAATCTTGCTTGAGTTGACAACTTCATATGACAACAATTTTGGGGAATCTTTCATTCAAGATGTCGCTCTAGAGACCTTCGCTGCGAAACAAAGAAAGCTTGCATGTCGCGTTATGCAGTGAACACAAAATTGAAACTGCATATAACGACGAGATGTGCAAAAGATCATATCTCCCACCAGTTACACAACTTTTACCCATTTTCAACCTATGAACTTATCAAAGCAATAACCAAATTCCAGTGAAGTTCATGGTCTAGATTCCCCGGGCAGAAGAATGATTCTACTACGGTTGGCGGCGATGTGAAGTGTTAAATCTTGATAAAATGAGTCAACAGGAGTGTGGATGACATAATGTCTGTACCATGCTCATACACGAAACCATTAAAGCTCGAACATCCTGGTCCTCCATTTAGCCACAGAACCACCGGATCCTCCGAAGGAATTCTTTCAGAAGTCCCGAAATAGTAGAATAAGCGCTTCCCGTGGCGCGGATCAATCTTCACATACCATCGTCTAGAACCCGAATGTATGACAACCATTATGAGTAGACCCAATATAAGAGTGACAAACACCAGAACCAATGAATACAGAGTTTATCTACTGGCTTGACGATCCATACTCAAAGACACTGGCATTTAATTAAGGAAAAACAACATTGTTAGGGTCTAAACTTTGGCCCAACGTGTGGACTATTATCTTTGAACTTTTAATCAGTTCAATATAATACTTGAGTTTTCACTAGGACTCCGCTTGTTTCACGTAAAATGAATAAATTAGAAAATATTTTTCTAAAAATGATCTCTTGTTTAAGTTAAAATAGTCAATCAATAAAAAATAGTTTCATCATCGACAATCTAAATATTTTCATAGATTTTCATTTATTTTCGTAAATAATACAAGCGATTAGTTTTAGGAAAATGTATTCTAAATCATTTATTTTCCGCGAAACAAACGCATCATGGATGTTCGGTGTATTTATTTCATTTAATCAGACAAGAGAGAAAATCACCACAAATTCCTAAATTATTGCAAAATGTGCAATCTAGTTCCTAACTTGCAATTTATTCAATCTGATTCCACAACTTTCCATGACAAAGTCAAATAAATCATTCTGTCTTACGATGCAAGTTTTCAAAATCACACTATTGCCTGGATTTTAATATTTCTTCATTTCAATGTATTTATTTTCTCAACAAAAATTATACCATTTTTTATTATACTTTTACCTTCTGTGGTCTCTATAAATATTGCGCCAGTTCCATTTAAGGTTATTGTAACTTATAATCTCTATAATAGTAATAGTAGAACTTGATTTAGAGTTGTATTAAGTTGATATTCCTGCTATTTTAAGTTGAAGTTGTTTCATAAATATATCTTGTAAGGATATTAATTTATCTATAAATAGTAGTACTTATATTAAAATAAACCCCGTTTCAAATTTTTTAGATTTTTTAGATTTCTAGACCAAAAAAAAAATTAGATTTATAAAATTTTCAAGCTTTTTTATTTGTGTTTTCCTTATTAAATTTATTTAAATATATGTGTTAATTTTTGTAAAAATAATTTATTTTCGAATCATTTGCTCGTGGTTGTCTAAGGGAAGGGGGGAGGCTAGGTCAGTCCCTTCACTTGAGCTAACGATTTCCACCTTTCAGCAGAGGCAGCAATGCGGCATACATTGTCACTTGTATTATTTTTGGATCATTAACTGTAGAGCTTGAAAATACATAGATTTCAATGAGTTTAATAAGGAAAACACGAAACACAAAAGTTTAGAAACTTTAGCCGTCTAAATTTAGGAAAAAGATTTAAAATAATATAAGTAAGAGAATCTATACATAAATTAATATCGTTCCTAGATATACTTATGAATATACTTAGACTGGGTGTGTTTGTTTTAGGGAAAGTATTTTTCCGGAATCCATTTTCCGGACTTTCACCCGTTTGGTTCGCGGAAAATAATTAGTCAACCGAAACCACTTTCCAGTCAAGGAAAACTTTCATGTATAAAATTAGAAAAGTGAATTTCCTAATCTAAGAAAGTGAAAACGCTTTCCGGAATTGTTTATCTTGATTTTGTTAATATTTTATTCTTTCTTGTCTTGTCTTTTCTTTTCTTGTCTTGTCTTTTCTTTTCTTTTCTTTCTTTTTTTTTCTTTTTTTCTTTTCTTTTCCTTTTTCCTTCTTCCTCCCCCCACCGGTCACCAGCCTCGGCGACGGCTGGTGACCGACCACAGGCAGGGCCGGCAGCTCGCCGGCAGGAGGTTGAGGCTCATCGGCCTCGCGCGAGGTCGAGGCTGGCCGGGATCTAGCGAGACTCGACTTCACAACGAGGCCTCGCTGGCCTCGCGCGAGTTCAAGGCTCGCCAGATCTCGGCGCGCTCGAGCTCGCCTGTGGCCATCACCGGGCGAGTGTCAGGATCGCCAGCCCGGTCACAGCATAGGTAGGAGGAAAAAGAAAAGGAAAGAAAAGAAAAAAGAAAAGAGAAAAGAGAAAAAATAATTAAATATTCTAGTTTTTTCAAAAAAGAAAATAAATAATAATAAATCGAATTTTAAAAAAATATTAAAATATTTATTTTATTTTTTTGTCTGAGATAAAATCATAAAATTGAAATCATTTTCCAAATGATATGCAAACACCAGAAAATATTTCCAATCACATATCACCAAATGTAGGAAAACTAACAGTATTTCTAGAAAATGCATTTTCCTTTTTCATTGAGTTTTCCGCAAAACAAACGAAAGTATGAATATTAATATGATATAACTTTATATAAGGTTATACTTTCACTTTTATAGAGATCATAAGCAAACATATACTTAAATGTTGTTTAATTTAGGAAATTGATTGAAATGAAAAGATATTGTAAATCTGGGTAATAGTGTTATTATGAAAATTTGTGAATAATACTAAAGGACCAATTTGACTTTATTAAGGAAAATTGAGGGGCTTGAAATTTTAAGGATTAGATTGCATATTTCGCGGTAGTTTAGGGTGGATTACAATTTCGTAATAATTTAGGGACTTGTGATGATTGTCTCAAGTACTACACTAAACATTTTGGAATAGTTTAAAGACCATATCATTCGAATTAAAATTGTCCATAGATGACATTAATCGTCGGGCCAATGTTTAAGAATTATTAGTAATATTTTCTTTAATAAATCACATAAAGCGGCAACCGATACATGACAACAAAGAGGCATACCCACAATAGTGTTTGGAAGGTAAAGAGCCATTGAATCCAGGAAGGTCCGTAACCAAGGCGCTTTCGGGAGCGCACCGAGTCACCCCGAAACAAGAACACCAGAGAACCAACACACCGCACAAGATGAGTCCCCTCTTCGCCATGGACATGTCCTTGTCCTCAGTCCCCGTATGAAGATTCGATCTTTCGAGCATTCGCAAAACAGGAATGGTGATCAATATTTACGAATGAAGACTATTTATAGAGATAAAATTCCAGGTCAAGACAGGAGACGCCATTGATTTCCAGGAATTCGAGATTCTGGGGGGTCGAATCCGACTTGGGTGTGAGGAATCTTGAGGAGGAGTCAATTACGAGAAGTCAAAGAGAGATTCCAAAAGGAAAAGAAAGAAGCTCTGAAAAGAGGGTGTCGAGTATCTGTCTGCATTTGTTGGCTTTGGCAATTATGATGAGGGCGTTAAATCCTACTTTTCCCATTTGGGATCGGATTGATCTGTGAACTGTTGTGACAGGAACGTGCAATGAAATGAATGGTTTCTTGTAAGGATGAGACACGGAATAGATGGTAATCGAAAGCTTATAATTAATGGTTGAGATAATATTGATTTACGGGGTTCTTAATTTATAGACCATACAATAACTCCTCGGAAGATTAAATTGGACCTGCTGTTGAGAACCATGCATTGATGATACATAATATGCTCTATCCATAATCCAATAACGTGATGTATTGTTGGATTCAAAATGATCTAGAAATTAGTTTCTTAAGATTGTCCCAAGACAATTTATTCTCTGTTTTTTATATACGGAAAATGTTTGGAGAAAAACTACATATTTTGACATTCATTTAGCGTGAGCATAAATTATTTCATTCGATTTGATATAGACCTATAATGTCATATCTCGACAGGTTCTACTTTTATAATCGATTTGAACTTTCATTAGAGATTTATCAAATTTAGAATCATAAAAATGAAAGATCGACAGCTCATTGCCCATGCTCCATCATCAAAAAAAAAAAAAAAGAACCTAATCCATTTGGTTCGATCGAGATCATTTACACGAGGTATCGTACCAAAAAAAAAAACAAACAGTTCTGTGTAGGTGAAGTTATTAATAGCCATTAAGTTTGATGAGAGATTGTCACATTGGGTAGTCTTTAAAACAACATATACCCTAAGATCGTCACGAAACCGAAGCTGGCATGTGTTTAACCGAAGAGGGTGTGCGTTTGTTCACTCAGCAACGACATATTCTTCATCTTCTAAGTTGAAATCAGAAGGTCAACACAAATTAGATATACTGCACTTAGGTAGTAAAAAGGCGTCTAGGATTAACGCATTTGCATCAAGCAATGGGATAGTGGATAATACAGGGGCTCGGTTATGAACTTCTTCAAAATTGATCCAACGGGTGGTCTGACATCAGAGAGAAGCTATTTTCAGAAACTAAATACGAGTTGAAATCGACTCGCTCCCTCAGCCACTTGAAACTGGCAATTCTAATCATGGAGTCGAAGCCGGTGCCATCTGCCCTTGAGAGAAAGGGTGCATCATGTCACTCACTGAAGGATCAATTCAAGGAACAGGTAACTTAAACTGTTGTAAAATCAAGATGGACCTACCTAAGGCGGAGTTTTCTTGTCACGAGAGAATAGATAGTTATAGCATTTCAACTGGTAGAAGTACTTCAATTCACTTCAGAAGTTGGGTTCAAACATGACGGTTTAGTAGTAAAAAAACAACAAGAATTATCAGTATTGGAACATTCGGAGTACAAGTTTGGTGTTCATGTACAAAATCACTTACTTCAAACCACATCAGAAGCTGAAGAGGGAGTTTTCTGAGAAGCTACAGAGGTCGATCCTTCAGTACGGTAACCACTTACTTCGCTGCTAGATGTGATCCCGTATGCGTTAGCGACCAAAAACATCCTGGTTTGTGTTCGTGTAAGATATGTTGAACCTGGCAACTTCAATGGGAAGATTGGCAACGAGACTTTGAAGTCTAAAATGCTCAATACTTCTCTCATGGATGGTCGGCAAGTGTAGTCTAGCGAAGTACACCAAAGCCCCACACTGATCAAGCACTCCGCTTCTTTCTCATCGAAATTCCCGCCTAGTCTCGAGTCTACCACATCCAGCAACTGCTCTGTTCCATACAGATCCCGAACCCATTCCACAAGGTGGACTTGGTCTTCTAGCGCTCTCGGCTCAACAATCTGTCTTCCGCACACTATCTCCAAGAGGACCACCCCAAAGCTATAGACATCCGATGCCTTATTTGCCTTGCCCGAGTAAACAAATTCAGGGTCGATGTAGCCAATAGTACCAGCCAATATAGTCGTTCGTGACCCCTTAGCACGATCGACTAGTCTTGCCAAGCCAAAGTCCCCCAACTTAGCATTAAACTCCGAATCTAGCATGATGTTGCTGCATTTTATATCCCTGTGCACCACGCATTTTTCCCATTCTTCGTGGAGGTACAACAACCCCGAGGCCAAGTCTTGAGCGATCTTATACCTTGCCTCCCATGTCAACAAGCTTCTCTCTTTGAACAGATGCGAATCCAAACTACCATTCATCATGTACTCGTAAATCAGGAGGAGTTCTTTCTTCTCGTGGCACCAACCAATGAGCTGCACCAAGTTTTTGTGCCTAAGTCGGCTACTGGTTTTCACTTCAGTCGCGTATTCCTTGATTCCTTGTTTAGATTGGGGAATTATCTTCTTGACGGCAACACTCAGCTTCAAATCACTAAGATAACCCTCATAAACTCGTCCAAACCCCCCTTCCCCAAGTAACCGCTCGTTTGTGAAATTGTTCGTCGCCAGCATCAACTGCTTGTAGGAAAATTTCTTCGGTCCTGTTAGCTTGTCGAAATCTTCATCAATGGCTGGGAACATATCATTATCTACCTCTGCACTCTTTTTTGACATGCAAAGAAACCAAGCAAAACCCACAAAAGCTGTGAGGGACAACAAGCCACTCATTCCTAGGACTACCCATAGCCATGTCCTAGACTTTCTTTTAAGTTGTAGACTAGAAAAAAACTGCCATGACTTAATATTATGCATCTCTTGCAAGTTTCCACTGCTAGCAGTAAAACCGAAAGTCACCCATTCTGGCAAAGTTTGGTTCAAATAAACTTGGTACGAAAGACGGGAAGAATTAGGACTTGAACTCGAATTACTAGCATCCATCAAGAGGACGCTCAAATTCTGCGTGCTTGAGTCGAACTTAATTTGAGCATGAAGGGGTCGACCATTGACAATATTGTTCTTCCACCAGTCGACACAGACATAAATAGAAGAGTTGACAGTGTTTTTATCGATACCAATATGTTCACATGGAGGATCCCATGGATTCGAGATATGGTCGTAGTGCGTGTCAAACTCCACTGAAACGAACACAATGGACGGGTCATATCTAGTGCCATTTACAAGGGCTAAATACCCTCCGCCTGATCTGACTGGCATCTGAGATCCATTGGGAGCGAGAAAGAAAGTTAATCCATCGGCATACGATGCGTTACCTCGGGAATGGATGATGAAAGTAAACTGACTCGTGAAATCCGCCATGTTCCCCGAGTCCTTATCCCAAAGGTGCATTGGTTGATAATATGTTGCACGGCCTTGGCTGTGGTTAAGGTTCACATCGACCAGGTTCCTAGAGAGCTGGATGGTGTCATTCACCTTAGTCGCATCTGCTTCCACATGCACACGATCATCATTGGGGTCAAAATTTGTGAAGTTGAAGGAAATGCAATCGGATGATGCTGAAGCTTTGGCCAGGATGATTAGGGACAAGAAGATGAACACCGTCGGCTGTGGAAGCTTTCCCATGTTGCGACGAAAGATTGATATGCTGTGAAGCTCAGCCTCTGACAATAGGCAAGGTTTTCTAAAGTTGCCAGAGGTGATCTCTTCAGCCTCTCAGGGACACTATGCCTTTAGTTCCTTTAGATTCAGTGGCTGATGGTTGCAAATTTAAGCAAGTCAGAAGGGGCTAAGTCATCTTGGACCCGTTTGAATGAAACAGCAAATCAAAACCTAAAAGAACATTTCAAGTTCAGTGAGATTAGTCTATAGTTTGGAAACCACATCACACAAGACGGCTAACTAGAAGCCATAGAGAGGCTTTCTTTCGGTAAATTCGAGTCGTTGACACATTATTCTGGTTTATCGACCGACTCAATGGAGGATGCTCCCGCCGGCCAAGCAATCATCTTGAAATTACTTGGTCAACAAGGAGAAAAAATATATAAGACCAATGCTAAACTGGAGGAAAGTTTTACTATTGATAGAATGAAGGACTTATTAGAAGAAATATAAACTGGTCTAATTCTCAATAGAATACTAGTAACATTGGACGTCAGATGATGGCGAGGTACCCAAACAAAAAGAAATCAAGCGATAAGCTGTGAGTAAATATTCTAAATGAGGAAAATCAAGTAGTTGGTACTTGAGATTGACTTCTTACTGTATTGAAACAAATGTAGCAATATGGGAAGGAGTCTCCATTTTAATTTAAACTGTCATCATCTCAATGAGATTTAAAATACAATTGACCCGACAAACCAAAGATTGAGGAGCATCCACTGTAATAATAGAAAGCATGAGATATATTAGGAGTATACTACCCGGAGGATGAGAGATCAAGGAACAAGTCAATGAAAGGAATGAAGAATCCTTCCGGGTCCGTTGAATTCTGTATGACAAATCTGCCAAACGCTTCAAAGCGGAATGCCTATATCAAGATAGCGTATGAATGATATTTTTATGTTATCAAGCTCAAGTTTACAATGCAATTGAAACTAGAAAAGCACATATCTTCAAACTAAAAGATGAACAATGCCCTGTGACACCTAAAAGGTTCGCGTGCTGGAAGGCAATGTCTGAAGAGGAACCTTAAAAGTGATATCTAATTTGGCTCACGAATAAACACTTCCATTAAGATCTAATAGAAAATAATACAAATTCCTACAAAAAGACGAATGAACAGAGACGGCAATATTAAGTATAGAGATCCTACTGACTCACTCCTCTAAAATTAGTATCCTGCAATCCTCTCTTACATGCATAACACTTTCAATTGTGTAGTAAGATAGATTTAATCACCACTGGGAAATTCCACCTCTTTGATACCATTCTCAACCAGCAAAATTGTACGGTGACTTGATCTCTTGACGTCTTGACCTCCACAATCGAAAAGCCATAGCATGCCTTCAACCTCGAAGCATGGAAAAATGCTCGCATTTTGCTAACATTAAGTCCTCGCTGCTGAATCATTTAAATTGGCGAAAGGACGAAGCACCCAAACACTACTGCTACTAATGCTATTAGAAATATTTTACAGGCATTAGCAATAGATGGTGCGCCGGAAAACTTGAATCTCCGAGCTTGATCGCTGCAGAACAAAGAACAAAAAGGTTTTTCTAAGGAAAGATGATAAAGTTTCAAACAAGAGAATACTAAATCCCTGGTTGGCCACAGCTCTTTTTCCAATATATAATACTCATTGAGGGAGATATGCAGTTAAAAAAATCAGGAGGCTCCCAGGATGTTTCTCTATTGCATGCATCTGCATGGATGCATTTTAAGTCAATTAGGGATGTATGCAGGTGAGTATGTAAACACATGTGCGCATGCTTGTGCATTGACTTGTGCATTTAAACTATCAAAGATAGATAAGTAGAATGCTCAACCAAAATATTAATCTAGTCCATTCCAATGGCAAACATCTACTGTAACAGATATTAATTGCTACCAATTTATTTCCTTAAAACAATAGGTAGTGCTTAACTAAGCTGCTGCCTGTTGGCTTCATGAGATCTTACTTCTGAAATGAAGATAGTACACCGCAGAATATGGTATTATCAGGCAACTGAAGCTCAGTTGTGTCATTCTCTGGATTGATAACACTCATATACAATTCTTGACCCAGATACCATGAGTCAAGATTCTCAGTGCGGAGATTCCAAATGCCAGCATTGTCAAGTGAAACCAAGATGGCTGTCCAAGCTCCTGGAAAAACCTGTAATAGAGATGGAACTTCCAAATCATACAAAGCCTTTTTTCTGCAAATTTCTAAACTAATTAACAAATTTCCTTCCCAAGTACAAAAAGATGTCTTCAGAGTTCCATAGCAGCAATACAGAAAGATTCAGCTAAAGTAAAGCCAACAATAGCGCCAGCTAGAAGTTTGCGCTAAAAAGATGACGCAGAACAAATATAACACGCACTCGACTGATATTACGCACCCTTGTAAAGAAGAACAATAATTAGACGTTAATAAACTTCCAAATATATAAACACTTTGCCCGTGAATGCAAGATCTTTGTCCCAAAAAATGTTTTCATGCTCGGGATCAAGCACATGAGAGAGAGCATAGAGGTACCTGTGTAGTGCAACGAGCAACCCCATCCCATTTGTTATAAGTGGTTCTGCTACGTTCCGTCCAAACTCCAAAGTCCATACTGCAGTGCACCATAATATAGCCAACTCATTTGTCTTTTAAATTCTAGGGAAGAAAGGAGGCAGGGTACCAAAGTTTTTAGAAGACGAGACTAGAGGCTCACCCCACGACAAAGAATGCATAGCCATCTAAGTGGTAGCTCTGGACATTAGTGTCGTTGTTCTGGAAGATGATTTCCAGAAAACCTTTATAAGTTCCATTTATTAAAGAAGCATCAAGTTTGGCGGGTCTGTTCATTAGTCTATCCGGGAAATCAAGCTTGTAAAGACCGTGAAGGTTGAACTGCTGCGCAAGCTTTAGGGGAGTTGAAGGTGGTAAATAGGATATACCATTCAGGGTGGTACGCCACTTCCCATTGATGAGCTCCGGAGATCTGTTAAGGATGACATACACATCCGTAACAGTAATCTCACCATACTTGAAAGAACCTTGTGGATTGGGACGAGCAGCGCCAGCAGAGACATTCCATCTGAATATCAGATTTAAATTACATCAGCAAGCCCATGTGCGGGAGAAAACAAAAAGCTCGTAACTCAATAGAAACACCGGAGTCCAAACATATTATCTCACCTCTTTGTTATACCCAAGATAGTGAAGAAAATTATGAGGCCAATGGAAAGCAGAAATAGATACGGACCAGATTAAAGTATAAGACTTCAACGGTATTTTTGAATTGCATCCAGCACATAATAAAACTAGATGTATTAAATAGATGAGAGTTACCATTAGCTACAACCTTATGGATCTGGCTTGATTCATTGAGGCATACGCATCGTTCTCACCAGGATCAGGGAGAGGGCCCAAAGCTGGCCCTTGGGAGTTGGAGTAGTGCAACACAGCCACTCCAGCGGCTTTACTGACCTTAGAGGAGTTGAACCTTGGAGAGGCAACAATGAAGTAGTCGGTGCTTGCAGTTTGATCCATTGTGACTAAGAATGAGTATGACTGCCCCACGTGAATATCCATGTTTGTGTAAATTTGCTGAACCGTGTATGATCCTTCAGTCTCCACCAGTAGCAAGTTATGACTCTGTATTCTGAAATTTAAACTAGTGGAAATACCGACATTGTGCACCCTAAAGCGGTACGTTTTTGCTGTTTCACATACAACAAAAGGTTGTGTTACTTTCTCCATCACAAAAAATTTGAGGATGGTACTGCAAATCAAGTGACTACCCGTAAGCATAACTCTAAAAGCCCTCGCTATATGGCCAAAACTTATAAAGCTCACAGATGTATGCCATAGCTTACCCGGTTCAACATTGATTATCTGATAAGTAATGCCATCTGGAACAAGTTCCTTGTCATATTGATAGGGACCGAAGCCATTAATGATGATACCATCAGGAAACCCAAGGTCTTTTCCCTTTTCTATGTCTTTCCTAAGTTTCTGTTTCCAAAAGGCACGTATAAACGATCATTGTATGACGAATCAAGTAGATAGTGTGAGACCAAGAGAGACTTGATACTGACCTTATGGCTTTTAGTATACCAGTCACTAATAAAAACTGCAATATCTCCATCTGGCGTTGCAAAAGGTAGTGGAATAACATCTCTGTTGTTTATTATGATTCCCCCATATCCACCCGCCGCTCTCTGGAAGTTCAAGGACGGGAAGTAAAAGAAACTCCCTATTTGATCTTTGACCTGGAATTGGTATGTCCAATTCCATCCAGCAGGAATCGGACAATTTGTCCCCAATACGCCATCTTGCCAAGAGTTCTTCCTATGTTGTATTCCATTCCTGACAAAAGTATGATTTACGAGCGTTAGCAGTCAACTACTTCTGATATCTGATTACCTAGGCCATATTCAAGGATGATACTTCGTGTGTAGTTCAGTTTATAGGTTACCATGTCAAAAGCAATGGCTCATCGAGCTCATTCTTGACATTGATCATGACATTCCAATTGGTAGTGATGTTGAGAATGGGCCCCGGGAACAGCCCATTAATCCCGATCACCTGAAACATTGGTCATGAGAGGTTGGCATTTTAGCATCCTGATGAAGCAGGCTTGTCTAAGCTAAGTGCATCACAAGAAATGAAGAAAGCAAAAGATCTTCACACCCACACTTGCTAGACGTAATATGCGTGAATTTCTATCATGGTCAAAGCGATAATTCTCAAAGCATCAGAATATATTTGACATACAAAGGCAAAAGTATTGCAAGAAATTCCAAAACGCAACAAGATAAAAGACCTGTAAACAATCAGCAGTCTGGAAAAGAACCCGACAAAAAAAAAAAAACTAATAAACTATACCCAAAAACAATCTTAAAATCATGCTTACATTTTCCCCTCTGTTGCTTTTTCCATCATCTAATGTAAATCATAAGGTCATTGAGTAGAAACTTTCCAGGAAGATGAAAACTCAACAGATTCCATGTAGTTCAAAACTGAGAATTCAGCCTAGCTACACTATGAGCTGTCTCTAGAAGTCAAGAATTTTGATACTATTGGCCTTTCCTGGGGAAGAAGAGTTTGAATTCAGGAAACGCAGAGCCAAATGATTACTCAACATTCAGCAAGAAAAGAGAAATCATCCTAGCAATCACCATCAGCAACTAATTAGCAGCATTTACCTACTCGATCACAACGGTGAGAAAGAGCGGGGAAAGAACAACCGACTAAAAATCAAGCTTCAACTAGCAAAAGCACAGAACAAAAGTCGAATGCAAGTGAACGCGAAGCGAAAGAGACCTGCTGCTTGACTCCAAGGGGCGAACTGGAGAGATACGACACGGTCCAGTCGAAGTACACATAAGGGTCTTCTGCTAATCCCCTGCTCAGCGAGCCAAGAACCAGAATTGCCAAGAACAAGGACGAGGAGATGGAGGAGGCGAAAGAATCGCCGGATGGCATTTGCGACTCCGTCTTTCGCATGGATAAGGGCGGAGGATATCGACGACTAGCCCTTCACCGAGTGGGGAATTGGGTAGTGAAGCGATGCTTGCGAACAAGACAAGAGACATCAAAGTTCGCAGATGAGAGAGAACAGAGGAGGGTAAGAACGGTGGTGACAACTGGGTGCTCAGAGAGGCCAGTTGCGAGATGGGTCCCATTGGTCCTTTCTCGCAGTTCCATGTAATTTGAAAGAAAGAGAGAGAGAGAGTGACCCAGCAAAGCCGAAGCAGCGGTGGCTTTACGACTCTTTTCCTTCCCGCAAAACGAAAATGGTGGGGTCGAGTCGAACGGTACCAGCAGGAACTGTTACGGGCGGCAATCATGGTGGTGGAAAGATTCTGGAGCGATCCCGCTGCGAACCCCGACGGGTCATCCTGCGTTCCCACTTCACTTCACTCCACTTCACGGTCGCAAGAACAAGAACTGCCGTTCGAAAAATCAGGAGCGAGAGGACAAAGCGCCCCCCCAAAACAGTGAAAAGCAAGAGAGAGATCCTTTCGTTCCATCGATTTTCTCACCTTTTTGACTGCCTCTTCGAACAGAAGAAAGGGTAGATCATCATCCACTAGTTATGGAGATTATCGGGTCAATTATTACAGAGAAAACGTTAGAGAACCGTGAGGAGATACGGAGTATCCGCCGCACGTTCGTTCTTTGTTCTTGTACACGGGGCACGCACCCGGCAAAAGCCCACGAGCGTTTCTGCGCTGGATAATGCAACAAGATGGGGCGATATATGGGCCTGATATAGGGCCCGACCCACGAGGCCCATTTGACCTCCGCGACCGCGCTCGAGCGTGTCCGGGGCCCAATGGGCCGGAGATCAAAGCCCAACCCGGTGTCGAAACGGCCGCAATTGTTCGGCCAGCTTTGGGACCTTTTCATTTAGCAAGCGGTGGGGAGGAAAGTTCACAGGATGCGCCCAATACTACAATTCATACAGCACTTTAGTCGGTTGCTTAAAGAGTATCGCGCCGGAACATCTTCTCCGGATCGAAGCCCGCACATAGCAGATCAATCGTAACCGTTGGTCATGTAAAGACCATTTGGATTTCACGTTGTTCCCGCAAAATTTGATGGCTATGATCGCATCGGGTTCGCAGGCAAAGAGTCTATATAAGGATTTCCTGTCTCGGACACTTTGGAACGCTCCTTCATGTATAGAACTCGATTTCTTTTGTTTTTTATGGTGATTAAGGGTACCTTTTAACCTCAAAAAGGGGGCATATTAAGCAAATACAAATCAAAAGGATCTTAGCCGGTCGACCGGTCCAACCTATCAATAACATTCCACCACTTTAATGTCCCCGCTTGATTACGAGCTCATATTACTCATATCGGCATCTAAAACTTCATTTGAGCGACAGAAAACGCTTTCCATCAAAGACTTTAAGTTCTTCGCAGGCACCAGCACCGGCACCCCAAGATGCTCTACTTAAGCGTCTCGGCCTTTACATTCCCGCATTTTCACATCCCGCTTAAGCACAAGCTCACTAGCGGTGCTCAGGCGTCTGAAGCCCTGTCGCAACAACACCAAACGCGTCTCATCGAACACCGGTACCTCGAGATGCTCTTCGGACTGGGACTATTTCTAGCTGTCTTTTCATTTTATCGCACGACCTTTGTCTGTCCTACAGCACGCATGTTCCCCCTGGCCATCGGTTCAATTTGCCCAACCTATCCCAGCAAATCGTATCGAGCCTTGACCCAATTAGGACGAATTATTGCTGTCCAATCTAATGGGGACTCGCTACCCGTGACAGATCTGCTGGTTGTGCGTCGGCAGCGTCGACATTAATCTCCCTTGTAGCGTTGCCAATGAATGCGATCGAGCAAAAGCTGGCCGAGCCCCAAACTCGCCACAATCTAAATCCATGCCGCCGTTGAACGAAGGGGGGGTGGGGGTCGGGTCGTACGGACGCATTTGTAAAACCCGAAGCATTCGGACCGCATCCTTCGACGCTGGCGACAAATTCAAGCAGAAGTGAATTATTAGTGTCTTCCTTAATTATTCGTGTCAAGACAAAATCATAATCATCATCACGCCACGACTTCCCCCCACCTCTCACATGCTTTGTCCCTCCTCTCCACCTTCCTCTCTCCCTCCTTAATTTCCGACGTGGAATATTAAATTGCAAGCCTCCCCTCCTAAATTCGCGCCTCCCCCCCCACGCCGTCCACGTCATCTCCGTCCGACTCGGCGCGCCCCGATTCGCCGTCCACGTCACCGCCCGCAACCTCCCCTCCCGGAAATACCCCCCGCGGGCGGGGAGCCACGTGGCGGTCCCTCTTTGGCCCGCGGCGGGAGCGGGGGGTGCCCACCAGTCACCACCAATAATTGAAAAGTCTGTTGATCCGACCTGTACTCAAAGCTGTCATCACTGTCCCCTTCTTCACTCCTCCCAGTCTCTCTCTCTCTCTCTCTCTCTCTCTACCTCTGCCTCTGCAAAAATCCTGCAAAAACCTCGAAGCGAGGGAGGCACCCCCGCCATTGCAGTTGCGGAGAAGGAGGCGCTCATGCTCTGACCGGCGATCGCCCACGGAGAGGAGAACGCCATGCTTCCCTTCGTCCTCCTCGCGCTCCTGCCCTCGCTCATCCAGTCCCTCGCCGCCGCCTCGCACCTCTCCTCGCCGGCGTCGTCGTCGTCAATCTACGACGTCCTCAGGTCCCACGGCCTCCCGATGGGCCTCCTGCCGAAGGGGGTGACGGGCTTCAGGATCGACGCCGGCGGCCAGTTCGAGGCGTACCTGGATCGGGCCTGCAACGCCAAGTTCGAGAGCGAGCTGCACTACGACCGGAACGTCTCCGGGACGCTGAGCTACGGCCAGATCGGCGCGCTCTCCGGGATCTCCGCGCAGGAGCTGTTCCTGTGGTTCCCCGTCAAGGGGATCAGGGTCGACATCCCCAGCTCCGGCCTCATATACTTCGACGTCGGGGTGGTCTTCAAGCAGTTCTCCCTGTCGCTGTTCGAGACTCCCCCCGATTGCACCGCGGCTAGGGCGGAGGAGATGGGCGGTTTCCGCGACGGGGAATTGATCGCCGAGGCCGTGTCCAAGGTCTCTGCTTTACTTTAAACGACTTGCGTGATTGACATTTTCCTACTCTTCAGAATTCGCGCACCAGCTGCATTCTTCCGCGAAATGCCGGGTGTCTCGGTGATTTGTCTGAATTTTTTTTCCGCCTTTTTTTTTTCTATATACGAAGCTCGTATGAGCCTAAATTTTGTGTTTTTAGCAAGTGTGGAACGTGGATTTGGTGAAAGGTTGTCCTGTGAAATTTATCCGCCAGGCTTCTTTCGAGTGTCGTTTGAGCAGCACCGAGCACAGTTGAGCTCAATTATGCGTTTTTTTCTCTAATCTCAAAACCGTTGCTTGCGAATTTCCGGCTCTTGTTTCCGTTCTAGTATCATCAGCAGGTATTGGGGAAGTCTTTTTTATTTTATTCTTCTTGGCCTTCATGAAAGCTGGATAATTTATTTAATCAAGGTGGTGTTTGAATCCATTTAAGCTATGATTGTTTGTCGTGGGTCGGAGTTCTCAATAGCCGAGTGTCTTCCACGTTTAAAGCAGCAGCATCATTTGTTATTGTTTGTCCACTTTTATTGAAACTCTGTTTTCGTTTTTTTGTTTTCATAAGCAGAGTCAGTCGGGGAAGCTGCGGTATCGACTTGATCAGGGGCATTTTGCAAGGGAAGTTCTGTAAGCGTTCGAAGAGAATGTGATCATCAAAGTTGTGAGATGGCTCCGCTCCAGGATTGCTCGAATCCCAATTCCCCTGTATATGTGATACGGCGAGTTCGGTTTTAGGAGGTCCTACCCTTTAATTCAGTCGGTGTGCTTGCTGCTTGCTTTTTCCTTCGAACGGTGCGGAGTGTGCATGTTACATGGCCCAGCTCCAGTCTAAAGGATGATGGCAGGTGATTGAGAGGAAAAGTAGTTCAGGTGCCAACTCCATAATAACCAGTGTCCCACCAAGGAAAAGATAAAGGGAGACTGGAGCAGGGAGTGAGATTATTTCAGGTGAAAAGGCTCTGCAAAAGTTCATTTTGTTTGTTCAATTTGTTGAGTTATCGGTATAATCATGATCGATACCTTGAGGTCTCTTCTTATAGTGTAAGCATTTTATTAAATACACATGCCTCCCTAGCAGAGGAAATCGAAATAAGAATCTCTGTCCAGTCTCAGTATTTTGAAAATTAGCTCATCCGTTGCAATACCTTTTCCCCATTTTCTGTAATTGATACACGAATTTGTGGAATTGTGTTCTTGAGTCCTCGGCGATGTATGATCTTTAGAGGACCTAGATAGGTATCATGGTGAACTCTGTAATGCCATGTGAGAAATCTATATTAACTGGCTCGTGTTCACATCCTTATGCTCAGGTGAAAACTCTTGTCGAACTTGAGTTTCAAATATGGGAGAGTTTTGAGCAAAGGTTTTTGAAGGAGTGATCGTGAGTGTTTATCTCTCGTGTAGATTTTCATCTTAGCATATCCTTTCTCTTAAAAGAAAACTGGTTTCAGGTCTGTAACTGGACAAGAAAACAGCAGTCGAACTTCAATCCAATGGTATCTTGTTTTGTACAGAGGTGCAGCTTCTTATTTGCGAATGCGATCTCTTTGTAAACATTATTCTCCAGCTGAGTTACCTCTCTGTCGTGGTACTACATATTGGATTATGTAGTCACTAAATCTTTTCTGGACTTCAGATTCAGACAGTTTTTTCAATTGCTTCCTCTATCACCCTCTTTTCTGGACCTTTTTCCTTAGTCATTGCTTTGTAACGGAAAAAAAAAAGAAAAAAAAACGAAACATATGAGGAGGATCTTATCAGACTGAAGATGCGACAAATTGAAGGCTTTTATTCTGGATGAGTGGTTGATTAAATTGGATGACTAGTATGTCCAAGTAGATATAGTGTTTCTTCATTCCAAAGGTAAAAGATCCAACTGCAGTTAATGGAATACCTACTGGAACTCGCAAACCTTTGCATCAACTTTCTCTAACAGATGTCCAGGGATTTTACAATTGTAGTAATTGATAAGTCCTGTATAATTCCCCCTAATTATTTGAGTGATCAGTCTCAAGTGATGTATAGGGGACGCCCTTGGACCCATAATTTACAATGTTAAATATTTCTGTGAATAGTATAATTGCTGCTCCAATTCCAATATTTATTACAAGCTTTCTAGGCCATCTTCTTTCAGTTTCAGCATTGTCGATAAACTCCATTCTTTTGTTTTCTTGCTTGTAGACATTGTTGCAAAGAAGGACAATGACAAAACAAAACAAGAACAACAAAAGAAGAAAGGAAAAATGCCACAATAAAATATCTCAGAAAGATGGAATAAATGTCTTTCTTTAGTGGAATTTCTCGGAAAATTCTTCTTGTTCCTATTTGGTGTTATGTAACATGCAAGAGCTATAATCAGTAATCTGAAGGAATAGCAGGAAAAGAGATTTAACCTGAGGTAGTGTTGATGCTTTAAAAAGCTTTTTGATAGAATTTTGTTGAGCTGATCCCAAAAGATAAGAGAGCAATTTGAGTTCGCAAACTTGATCATGACGATTGCTCTCTTGGCCGTCTCACTTTCGCCACTATTCATGCTACTTTTAGACCGGTGCACGAGTGTATCATCTAAATGTCCATTGAGCTCTGCTTCACTAGGATAAATATGTCGTATACTCACATTGGAAAAAGAATTATCTATGAGAAGATCAAGTATGCATAAGACAGATGCTGCTGATGCTGCATGGTTAGTGCGGTTACTGTTTCGATATCCTTGTTCGTGGATTGCGTCATCCGAGGGATCTGCGCGACGGTCTTCTGATGCGTATGATAGGGACAAACGGTTTGCAGAGTGTTGTTTCTCTGCAAATTATTGCAGCTAAGAATGTCTTATTGGCCAACCTGCATGTGATCCAGTATGTATGTTTTGTCCGGGCACTCAGTTTTGCTTCTTCAAGTTGAAGCACGACACGAGCTTGGGATTTCCACATCACAGCAAACACAGCTGTTACAGGGAACTTGATGCTATATGACAACTGAAGTAGTAAGACTCCACACGACTTGCCTTGCCATGTCCTTACATGTCCTTACACGAGCATCTGAACTCGATCCTCACTGTTCCATCCATTCAAGTAATGTCTTGTGACCAAAATCGTCCCACCAGAGAAAAGCTTTCTTCTTTCGCTACGGTGTCCCACCGATGTCCCGTTCTTTTCGTCTTTCCTTTGTTCCACCATCCCTTAAGATCAAGAAACTAGGAGATTCTCCTAGAGCCTTACATTCCGGAAAAAAGAGAGAAAAATATGCAGTAACTCCGAGGTGGGTCGCCACGGATTTTACCAAATCACTCAAATGGTGTCCAATGATTGTTATAAGAATCAACCTTCTTATTGCGCCACTAGGTACACATGGAATCCAACGCGACTGATCCAATCTCAATCGTTATCGCTGACTAATGGAAACCAGAGCATGAGATGAGTGTTCCGATGTGATAGGCACCTGCATTCCGAATCTACAGAGTGAGCACACTTGGCATTGAGATTAAGCACCCAAAAGAGGGTGGGAAACAGAGAGATCCTCTGCTTTGGACTTTGCGATTGATCATTAGTTGCACCATCAGTGGAGAGTATCTTTCTGCGTAGAAACTTCATTTCATGATAAGTGTACAGCGCAGAATATGTCACAGTAGAGATCGCCCTTTACTTTTGACCGGGTTTTTACTTTTACCCCCTCGAATTCCGCCTTTGTCAGACAATCCCCTGAAATTTTGTTTGGATCGCCCTGTTACTTCAGAACCACTCACTATAAATCACGCGAATTGTAGATGATTTAACTTTAGGGCCGCTCACCGGTATTAGACGCCGTTTTCCTGCCAATATGTTTCGATTTCATTGCCGTCAAGTGACGTGTATAGAATTGCAAGAAACGTATTCACTTTACGGATAAAAGGACAGTCGGAGTGGTTTTTACTTCAGCAATCGTGTCCCATGAAAGTCAAGGAATTGAATTCCCGTCAAATTTAGAGTAACGGTGAAGTTGTTGCATGATCTGACCTACGTAGAAAATAGCACTTAGGGTAATTCTGTGCAACTCGAGTTTGGAGGGTGTAAAAGTAGGAATTTGGTCTAAAATTAAGGTAACGATGCGTAATTTCTCGGTAGTTTCAATGATCAGCTTTTCTCTCCAATTACACACTCGCGCCAACACCCGCCACTAAACCCGGTAGCACCGCCTCTTCCACCACCCACCTCCGCCGCCGCCGCCGGAGCAAAAGCGCCACCTTCTAATGGGATGGCCTCTCTCTTCTCTCTCTCTCTCCCTGACGCACATTCACCAGAAAGTTGCCTATCAAAAGCTCCCACTTTGATATAACTGGCCCCACCAAAACAATATCATGTATATGATGCCTATATTTTCTCTCTCCCTTTTCCTCTTCTTCTTCATAGTCCAAAGAGACCACAAAATCGTGCTGCTATCCGCATTTCGCATGATCCATGTCGTCGCTGTGTTTGTAGGAAGAGTGGGATTTGTGTGACAAGGCAATGGGTCTTCTGAGGACCTACTTTCTCCTTCTTTCGGGAGCTTTTTGAGTTTCCCAAAGTTTTTTGTGTAGCTCTTTTAGTTTATGATAGTGCCGGGCTTTATGTGACAAGTAACGTTTGCCCAATTTCCGGTTGGTCGAATTATCATGAACACCACTTTTCTGTTGGATATATTATTAATATAGTCCAAATAATATGTTCACATACAAGCCCAATAAGTTTAAAGCATGGTTATTTTGGGCCCATATGGGCTGGAGTCCAATAGCTTACATATAAACTCTAGGGTTTACCTACGCTGGAGGTAACACTGTTGAGCGTTCCAAACTTGACGTCTCTTGATGTAATACTTCAAGCAAAACACTATCTACTCTCTCAAACCCATAACCTTCAACAATCTTGAAGTATTAATTCGTGTGTTGGATTTGAGCAAGAAAAGTGTCTACTTGAAGATCTCGCTGAGACGAACTCGCAGGTATTATTTATTTTCGATTTCGGCGGTGGGATCGGCCGAAATCTTTGATTCAAGAACCCAGAAATTATAGCCAATTTCAGAGGGTGAAACCACTTGGGTCTTGTTCTACTCATCGATACGAGCGTTTTGAGTGGTCATTCGCATTGAACGGAGATCAGACGGCTGAGATACGACAACCGGAAGTCCAGCGATTTTTCGGCTTCCAACAAATTTCCGGCGACTTCTCGGCTTCCAGCAACAAGAGCAGTCCATCTTAAGGTTTTTTGGCACTCCGGATTTGTTTTTGGGGTCTGTTTTGGCAAACTCCACCTCTACAGAGCGGTTTGACCAAGGTTAGGGGCTTTATTCGACTTTGTGAGCTCCGAGGACTTCAAGGTGCACTCTTTCTACGTTTTTGCTCTGATTAAAATGGCAAAACATAGTTCCTATGATATTATCAAGCTGCAATCATTTGATGTCACTGAATTTCATGGTTGGAAATTGCATGTTCAATTTGGCATGAAAGAACGTGAAATATTCTACATTGTACTGAGTGATTTTGCATCTACCACTGAAGATGTTGATGAATATCAATGGAACAAAGATGAAGATTTTTGTAAAGATTACTTGTTGACCTCTTTAAATCCTCATGTAGCTATGACTTATAGTGAGTTTAAGACAGCGAAAGAAATATGGGATCACTTGAACGCTCAGTTCCAAAAACAAGAGGGGCTCTCTAAAACTCTTCCCGCGGAGAAGTTCTTTGACTTTAAATTCAATATGAATTCGAGTATCACCTCTCAATTAATTGAACTTGAGAACATGAGGAACATGTTGAAAGAGGATAACTCTGATATGTCCGATAATCTCTTTGTTGGTCTTGTGTTGAGTAAGCTACCTGCTGAATGGAGTTCTTTCAAGACTGAAATGCACAGAAAGAAAGAACAGATGAGACTGGATGAATTAAAGAGGTATATTCACATTGAAGATCAAAACATATCTAGGAAGAGTTTGGAACAAGAAGGACAACAAAAGTCAGTTGCCAACTTAGTTTCACATTCCAATAAACCTCAGAAAAGGTTCAAGTCATCAAAAGATGAATCCTCTTCATAGTTAGAGGCCAAAAAGACTATCTTCAAAAGGAGGAAGAAAGGCAAGTGCCATAACTATGGAAAGTGGGGTCACTGGGCAGCAG